CCCCGCTGATTGCAAGACCTCTGCGGATGGGTGGGTACCGCCCGGGCACAGCCCAGTGTGGTGCCCAGTGGGAGTTCCTGGACCAACCCGCGAATGTGCCCTGGTCCAGCCTCCTACTGAGAGGAGCCCGGAGGTGCCTGCTCCCTCCAGTCAGGCCGGATCGGAAGATCCATTCTTCCGGGTGTGAAGTCTTAAGGGATCTGAGTTCAGTGGGTGCCTTGGTGAATGAGAAAAACAGGATCCAGTTTGCATTAATGGGCGTCTAGGGGACCCTAGGGGACAGGAAGGGAACGGAGAACCCGGCCCCTCCCACTCCCGCTCAGACCCAGCGCCCGCCGCACCTGCTGGGCGAATGGGGATCTGTGAGTTTTGTGATGGGGTCTGCCAGGATCTACCAGGGTAGCCCCCAGAATCCCTCCAGTTAGAGAAAACAACCCGGAGGAGAAAAAGAGGCGCCAACAAAGATTAAGCAAAAAGTTCTGGGCTGGGGCTGCAGCTCGGCTCTGCTTGCCTGGCACGGGGGGGGGGGGGGGGGGGGGGGGGGGGGGGCACACGGGAGGCGGGCGCTGGGTTTGACCCTCGGCTGCATCAAAAGAAAATAAAGGCATTCTAAGCCTTTACAATAGGCATTTATGGAATCCGTTAAAGCCAAGTAGCTGTGCCCGAAGGTTCCATTTCCCCTGGATGCCCAGCCCCAGTTTCGGAACTGTCCCTCCTTTTCCTTCCTCCTGCCCCTCCCCCTCCCCGGGGTTTTGTGGCTGCTGCTGTTTGGGGGCTTTGTCGTGGTCGTTGTCTTGGTTTGGTTTAGGTTTTTTCTGGTGCTGGGGATGGAACCAAGGTCTCAGTGCTGACCCCTGAGCCGTGCACCTGGCCCCTCACTTTGAATTCTCTCTTCTGGGTGATCTGTTGGTTTTGATGGAAGTTTCTCAAGCTGTCAAGTATGGAGTTGGGGTGGGTGTTGTGCTGGAGCAGGCTATAATAGTGCAGGATGTTACGCAATGTCCCTGTCTCTAGCCAGAAGGTCCCCAGAAGGCCCCTGCCCGCCCCCCAAGTCATGGCAACTGAGATATCTCCAAGCCAGGCCAGGTGGTGGCGCGTGCCTGTGTCCCCGTGACTCAGGAGGCTGAGACTGAGGCCTTGGAGGCTCAAGAAGGATCCCTTGAGCCCAGAAGTTTGAGACCAGCCCGGCAACATACTGAGATCTGGCTCAAACAAACTTTTTTTAATTAATTGATTTTTTTAAGAAAATGTCCCCATGCAGTTGGATGCAGCTGTCCATGCAACTCGGGAGACTGAAGCTGGAGAATCACAAGTTCAAGGCCAGCCTAGGCAACTGAGCAAGGGTCTGTCTCAAAATAAAAATATAAAAGGGCTGGGGATGGAGCTCAATGGTAGAGCCCTCCTGGGTTCAATCCCTAAAACCACATGCGCGTGCGTGCATACACACACACACACACACACACACAAATGTCCCCAGGCAGGTGTCCCTTGGGACTAAGTTACTCTGTTAAGAATTAAGCCAGGCGCAGTGGTGCCCACCTGTAATCCCAGCGGCTTGGGAGGCTGAGGCAGGAGGATCGAAAGTTCAAAGCCAGCCTCAGCAATTTAGTGAGGCCCTAAGCAACTCGGTGAGACCCTGTCTCTAAATAAAATATAAAAAAGGACGGGGATGTGGCTCAGTGATTAAGGATCCCCCAAAAAAGAGAGAGAGAGATTGGCTTACATTGTAAGCTGCAGATGGGGCAGGGCCTCACCCCACAAACTTCTCAAAAGTCCTGAATGTCCTATTTCTACCCACTGGATCTCATGCCCTAAAATTAGGTTCATGACTCACCCTCTTCCCTACCATCCGAGCCCCCTGGCTGCTGGGGTATCTAGGAGATGCCCTAGCTTCCTTCATTTGATTTCCTCTTTGGTGATTTGGTCTTTCTGTGGAGGCTCAGGATGTGGCTGGGAGACCGTCTCCATTGTGAAATTGAAATCTCCTTCAGCATTCAACTCTTTGACTTTTTGGATCTCCTGAACCTATCTTCCAGAGGCTGAGCCCCCAGGGCTGGCGCCCAGCTTTCCTGAAGGGCCCTCAGCTGCTCAGCCCATTCCTACCTCAGGGCCTTTGCACCCGCTATTCCCTCCCAGGTGGCCACCATGCTGGCTTTTCCTTGCGTTTCATTCCTCTCTCAGCCCAGATGTCAACCAGACCTTAAAATCAAACAGCTCAAGACCCCATCTCCTCCTAGGATATTGTGAAATACATTTGGTCTTTCTCCCATTCCCTAGAATACAATTCCTAAAATCCAGGGAATCTCCCAGAGAGTGTGCCTTTGTATGCTAATGAGGTGAGTGGTGGCAGCAGCCCTGAGGTAGCCTCTCAAGTAGGGGCTGGTCACCCAGACAGAATGAGGAAGCTGGGGACCTTCATCCCTACCCCCAACCTCAGGGCAGAGGGGCTAAGGCTTGAGTTGGGCCGTGGGCAAGAGTCTCGGCAGCCCTGCCTGGGGGTGAGCCTCCGGAACCCCGAGGGACAGATTCCAGAGCTTCAGGTGGGGACGGGTGGAGGTTCCCGAGAACGGCACACCCAGGGAGCTCCTGCCCTTCCCAGGGTGCCTGGCACCGGGAGCCTGTCCATCCCCGTCCTCCGGGACACCCTGCCCTCCCCCCAGGACAGCGCGTTCATGTCCCCTGGGTTCTGGGAGTGGCAACCTGAAGGGGCCCTTCAGTCCTGCAGCTCCAAAATCGGGGGGGGGGGGGGTTCCTTCTGGAACCCCCCGGAGAACTGAGACCCGTCCGACCTCCAGCCCTGGAGCGGCCTCCTCTGCCCCCTAAGGAAGGAGCCTGCGGCTGCAGCCTGCGGAGGAGGAAGAGGAGGAGGAGGAGGAGGCGGCCCTGCAGCCCCCGCCGGGTCGGCTCTTCCTCTGGTCTAAGCGGGTCTCGGATCAGAGCACCGAGCGCAGGGACTTGGACGACCTCTGACCCCCGACCAGCCCGCAGGGAAGGGAGGACCCCGCTGTCCCTCCTTCCTCTGGGTGACTGCCCTGTGGCAGAGCTGGTTGGATGGCCAGGTCACTGTGTCACTTCCCTCTGTTTGGGTTCCTTGGTGGACATGGTCCTCCCTGGGTTCCCCATTAGCCTCTCTGGCAGACCAGGGGCAAGGCCGTCCCTGGTGACACAGGGGACCTGGGTTTCTGCTCCTGCTCCGCTGCCTCGGCTCTTGGCCACACTCCACCTTCCCGCAGCTGCTCAGCCTGGGGTGGTGGCCGCTCAGGACCCCCGGGGTCTGTGCACACCTGGTCCCGTCCCTTCTGTGCCCAGTTTTACGTGTGACTCTGTCTTGATTTGGGAGCTCGACTCCAGGCTCCGCTGTGGCTCTGTTTCTATTTTCATTTTTACTTGGTGCCGAGGATCGAACCAGGCCTCACGGGCCAGGCCAGCGCTCCTCCGCCGAGCCCCGACCCCAGCCCCATTTTGTCTTTTCCTTAGAGACAGGGTCCCACTGAGTGGCTCAGGGCCTCGCTGTTGCTGAGGCTGGCTTTGAGCTGGCGATCCTCCTGCCTCAGCCTCCGGACGGCTGCGATGACGGCGTGCACGGCCGCACCTGGCAAAAGAGCTGGAGCTGGGCAAGGTGCACACCTGTCCTCACAGCGACTCCAGGAAGCTGAGGCAGGACGACGAAGGTTCGAGGCCAGGCCCGGGATCTTCCACAGGGCGGAGGCTGGCAGTCTGGGGTCAGGGCTCCACGTGGGCAGGTGCCTCTCGAGCAAACTGGCCAGACCCCAGGAAGGGCCGGGACCCCGACTGCAGCCAGAAGCCCAGAGAACACCCCCTGGGGCTGGGGCTGGGGCTGGGCATGGGGCGCCAGCTTGGGGCAGAGCCTTGGCCTGTGGGGTCTGAGCCACCTGGGGGGAGAGACTCAGAACAGAACTGGGTTAGAGGAAGCTGCGCAGGTGTCCACTGCAGAGCTGACCGCCTGGCGGCTGGTGAGAAGTCCCCACCCGTCGTGGGTTGCAGCAGTGACGCGGTGTGTGCCCAGCCAGGAACCAAGCCTGAGCTGCTTCTCTACTCCCCCCCGAGTCTTCCTCTCCCGTGGCCTTGGTTGAGTTAGTTACTTGCTGTTCGCCACCCTCCAGGGTGTGGGCCCCACAGTAGCGGGACCCATGTGTCCCCCACGCCTATCCACCCATGCGTCCCCAGCTCCTGGTGTACTAGAGGAGCCCAGGCCATGAACAGATGTGGTGCATTATCCTGAGAATCGGGGTCTTTTCCAGGGGCTGTGGCGACCCAACGTTCTTTCATTCATTAGTCCCACGTTTATTGAGCACCTACTATGCACGTAGAGGCTGGGGATAAAAATGGGAAAACACGTTATGGTGGGGAAATGGTCAAGGAAAAAAAACCCTTTAAAAAGTTTCATTATGTATTTTAGGCGGTGACTAGTGCTAGAGAAAAAAGTAGTAGTAAGATGAATACAGATCCGAATAGTTAGTGAGAGGGCATGTCCCACCCACAAAGGTCTTCCTGGGAAGGTGACAGTTGTGCAATGACAGGAAGGAGTTGAGCTGCTTGGGATTAGCGGGTGGGGGAAGAGCAATCCAGACAGAGTGAAGAGACTGTCCAAAGGTCCTGAGGCAGGACCACGCCCGGTGTGTGGGAGGAGAAACTGTCCATGTTACTTTGAGTAGGGTTGATGCTTCTTATTTCTATTGAGGCTCAGAGACAGCAAGCTGCTTTCCCAAGGTCACACAGTGGAGAATCTGAGCCCTGTTTTGGGGGCTGCACATGTCTGTCTGGCCCAGGAGACCTTGGCCAGGCCGAGAGGAACATGTTGGGAAATGGCCTCGTGGGTCGGCAAGGGAAGCCCTGTCCCCGGTTTCCATGCTAAGTTGTTACCCAAGATAGAAACAGGAAGCTATTCTCTGCCTTGCTCCCAGCCTGTAGCTGGGAGGGGGGTTACTTGGGGTTAAAGAGGCCTGACAGGACCCTCTGACCACCCTGTACTCTTCCAGGTGCCGTTGGGGAGACAGAAGAGACCCCAGCTCAGCACAGGCACCCCAAGACAGTCCAAGGTGAGTACGCTCAGACGTTCATTCAACAAACACTCAAGTGCCACTATGTGCAGGTGGCTGGTGCCCTTCGTGGCCACACAACCCTGTGAGCTGGGGGCTGCTTGGAGGTCCCCTCTACATCCGAGGAGACCCAAGGCCCAGGGAATGAGAGGCCCAGCCAGGGTGTAGAGCATTAACTTCAAACCCGGAAGTTGGGCCCTAAAGTGTGCTCTCCGAGACTGCCAGGCTCCGGGTCTCCCTGGGGCCAGTGTGTATTTGCTGAATAGAAAAGTCCTGCCTGGGTCTCATCTGGTCCTGTCATGCTCCACCAGAAAGTAGATCCTCAAGTCAAGGCTGGAGAACAGCACAGACCCACCTCGCCCAACAAAAGGGTTTTGCAGGTGCCCGGGGAGGCCTGGGGGAGGAATGTGAGAGGGAGATGGTGGGCTCTGCCCGGATGCGTGGAGGGAAATTTACAGGAGGAAGGATCATGACAGCGGGGTTTTGAAGGCTACATACAAGTTCACCAGAGAGACACTGAGTGGACTCACTTTTTATCTGTGAATTCAGTAAACGGTCCCTTCCTCCCCGGGTGTCTGCCTCATTCTGGGTGATGCCAAAGCCACAAGCTGCCTCCATACTGGGAAAGACGGAGCCAGACATGGACACCGCCAGGAAATCAGGACCCGGCCAGGGAGGGAGGGAAGGACTAGAGACAAAAGGGAGAACCAGGACCCTTACAGAGGGACCAAGGAGGGCTGGCTGGAGAAAGGGCCATTCGGGATGGGTCTTGAGGCATCCGTAGGAGGTTGCCAGGGAAGGTGGCTTTGTTTGAGACTTGCTGTGTTTGAAGGATCTAAGCAGAGCCAGGGCCTGTGGTCAGGTTAGAGGACCATCAAAAACAGGAAGAATGGCCAGGCACAGTGCCCACCCCCCCCTATAATCCCAGCAGCTCAGGAGGCTGAGGCAGGAGGATTGTGAGTTCAAAGCCAGCCTCAGCAACTTATCGAGGCTCTAAGCAACTCAGTGAGACCCTGTCTCTAAATAAAAAATAAAAAGGGGGCTGGGGTTGTGGCTCAGTGGTAGAGCACTTGCCTAGCACGTGTGAGGCCCTGGGTTCGATTCTCAGCCCTGCATCTAAATAATAATTTGAAAAAGGTATTTTGTCCATCTACAACTAAAAAAAAGGGGGGGGCTGGGGATGTGGTTAAGCATTTCTGGGTTCAAGCCCCAGTACCAAAAAAAAAAAGAAAGAAAAGGAAAGAGAAAGTAAAAAAGAAACCGGACGAATGGTGACTGTTGTAACCAGAAGCTCAAAGCTTCCTGGTGGGGAGGAGGAAAGGCTCTCAGCGGCCTCCTCTGTTATAAAGCGCTTCGGCTGGGATGTGGCTCAGTGGGTGGAGCGCTCCTCCCTCATGCACCAGGCCCGGGGCTCAGCCCCCAGCACCACAAGATCTAAAGGGTGGCTCGCCTCCCCCGGTGGCTCTTTGGTGCTCTCTGAAGCAGGAACATGGGGAGCACCCGGCTGGGGCTGAGTGAGATATTCTGGACGGGATTAGCCTGGGGGGGGACTGGAAAAACCAGGTGGCTGGGGGTCCCCGGCGGTGGTAGCCCTCCAGGCCGTCCTTCTCCACAGGAGCCCTCGGCGGCCTGCTCCTGGGACCCCGGGCCGGGCTGGCCAGGATGAGGTGTCCGCGCCCCCGGCGGCCCGACCTGGGCCTGGTCCTGGCCGTGGCCACCTTCGCCGTCCTGGTCCTCTTCAGCCTGCACGTGTCCACGCCGCCCAGCTGCCTGCTGCCCGAGAAGCCCCTGGGGACCCCCGAGGTCCTCCCCTGGCCCTCGCCGCCCGCGCGTCCCCGCCCTGCCCCGTGCCTCGCCAACGCCTCCGCCGCCGCGCACCCCGATTTTGCCGGGCAGCCGCGGCACGTGCGCGACTTCCTGCTGTACCGCCACTGTCGCAGCTTCCCGCTGCTGCAGGACGCATCACCCGACAAGTGCGCGCAGCCCGTGTTCCTGCTCCTGGCCATCAAGTCGTCGCCCAGCAACTACGAGCGCCGGGAGCTGGTGCGGCGCACGTGGGGACAGGAGCGCCAGGTGCGGGGCGCGCAGCTGCGGCGCCTCTTCCTCGTGGGCAGCGCCGGCCACCAGCACGAGGCCCGCAAGGTCAACCGGCTGCTGGAGCTGGAGGCGAGGACGCACGGCGACATCCTGCAGTGGGACTTCCACGACTCCTTCTTCAACCTCACGCTCAAGCAGGTGGGCGCGACCGGGCGCAGGCACAGGGCACAGGGGACCAGAAACTCCCCCTCATCCCTCTCCTGCCCCTCCTCTGACCTCGCTGTCCTTTTAGTGACCTGCTCCTCCCCTGGGTGACTGGGAGGAAGGGCAGAGGGATTAAGATGACCTGCAGAGATCTGCTGGGATGACACTGGGATGTCACTCAGGGGTAGAGCACTTGCCTGGCATGACTGAAGCCCTGGGTTCCATCCCCAGCATCACAAAACGAACAAAACCGTAAGGCATTTCGACAGGCAGCTGGTGCTCAGCTAAGCTTGGCAGTGACAGGGGCTCCCTCTCATTTATTTGTGCTGGCTCTATCTCCCCACCAGGCTGGGTCTGTGTCTCAGTCCTGGCACATAGTAGGTGTTCAATGAGGACCTTTGGATGGACAAGAACCCAGCCCAGGGCAGCAGGAAGAGCAAAGCCAAGTGGAGACATGTTAGGGGACAGCACAGGGGCACACAGGCCTGGATCCAAGGCTTCTGGTGGCTCTTTCTCCATGTGTCACCTTGCTCAATGCCCTGTCTGTTCCCTTACCAGGATTGAGGAGCACACCTGTCTCCTAAGGTCACATTTTGAGGCACCAGGGATTGAACCCTGGGGTGCCTAACACTGAACCACATCCTCGGCCCTTTTTGTATTTTGTTTAGAGACAGAGCCTCACCAGCTCACTTAGGGCCTCACTAAGTTTCAGAGGCTGGCCTTGAACTTGAGATCCTCCTGCTCAAACCTCCCAGGTAGCTGGGATTTCTTAAAGCATAAGTGCAGTAAATTTTGCCTTGTCAAGCATGCACCTAGCGCTAGTGACATGCTGGCCCCATATTGGGTGCTGGGGAGATGGAATACAAAGGAAAGACACTGTTCCACCCTGAGGGAGCCCAGAGACCAGTGGGAGAGGTGGGTGTCAACTAGTAGTCACATGAGTAAGTATAGGGCTCAGCCAAGTGGAGTTAAAAGGAATCATAATAAATATAAATGGCACAATTTTCAGGACATCTTGATTCTTTACAAAGCTCCACCAACTCCCGAAGCAGGTGCCATAATGAGGCCTGGGGGAAAGTTGGGAACTGAGGCCCAGGTCACCCCAGAGAGTGGCAGTAACAGGCTAGCCCTGTTGAGTGACTCCAGCCCTCAAGCCCACGCCCCTCCTGCTCTGCAGGTGCTGTTCCTCGAGTGGCAAAAGACAAGGTGCACCGACGCCAGCTTCGTGCTCAACGGGGACGATGACGTTTTTGCACACACCGACAACATGGTCACCTACCTGCAGGGCCTTGACCCCGACCAACACCTCTTCGTGGGGCATCTGATCCAGAACGTGGGCCCCATCCGGGTTTCCTGGAGCAAGTACTACGTGCCCCAGGTGGTGACGCGGGAGGAGCGCTACCCTCCTTACTGCGGGGGAGGTGGCTTCCTGCTGTCGCGCTTCACCGCTGCTGCCCTGCGCAGGGCTGCCCCCGCCCTGGACCTCTTCCCCATTGACGACGTCTTCCTGGGCATGTGCCTGGAGCGTGAGGGGCTGAAGCCCACTTCGCACAGCGGCATCCGCACGGCTGGGGTGCAAGCCCCGTCCACCCGCCTGTCCTCCTTTGACCCCTGCTTCTACCGGGAGCTGCTGCTGGTCCACCGCTTCCTGCCCTATGAGATGCTGCTCATGTGGGATGCGCTGAGCCAGCCCGACTTCACCTGCGGCAAGCGGGCACAGGTCTTCTAAGGTCACCTCAAGGTCCCCCGCCACTGAGCTCCTGTCTCCACTTGAACAAAAACGAAGGATCCCTTCCTCCTGGGAAGCAGGAGGAGAGGAATTGGTCTTCCCAGGGCAGCTGAGCATAGAGGAGCCCTGAGGTCTAAGGAGTGAATATGCTGCCCGGCGAACTCCTACACACCCTTCAAAACCCTCGGGGTCTGTGCTGCAGAGTTCCCTCTCCGGACGGGAGCTAACCCAGGCAAAGTGACCGGCACCTTTCCATGGTGTCTGATGACGGGAAGCCCCTCTGCCAGGGTTCCAGCTGTGGATGCCTCCGGTCCCCTGGGTGAAGGCCCCACTTCCCAGTTCTGACCTGAATCACAGACTGGACTGACACAACCCCTCCTTCCAAGTGGTGCTCTGGTCATTTCGTGGTAGATGGTTCCAGCCACAGTTCAAGGCCATCCAGGGGCCCCGTGTCCACTGCAGTGGGAAGCAGCGGTCAGCCTGGGCCGGTGGCCCTACTCCTAATGCCTCTGTGGGCTTCAGGCCCCTGGGTTAATGAGAGACCGGCCACGGAGGCTGGGGACCGGCCCGCCCTGCCTCGCCTGTGGCATCGAGTGACATTGGAGGGACACAGCTGTCCGCGGAAGGCTGTGGGAGCTCAGAGTGGCTCCGGGTCCCCAGCAGGGCTTCGTCCCCACACCTGCATCCCCCCAAGAGCTCAGGGAACGGCTCAGAGTGGGGCCAACTTGCACCCACCCACTGCCCAGGGAAGGGGTGACAGGTCCCCAGGTGGCCCAGTGTGTTTTATAGGTGAGAGGGTCCACGAGAGCTGGTGACTCCCTGCTGCCCCCAGGCCCCATGGGGATGAGGCAGCTGGGCAGAGTGTCCTCAGGGAATAAAGCATTTTGTGGAAACCTGGAGATCGATTTATTTTTTAAAGTAGCTGTTTCTAAGTGTCAAGGAGAGCCTGGTCCACATCTGTCTCTTCAAGCCTCATTGCAGGAGGAAGTACCCGTGGCGGCAGTGTGTGGTTGAGGTGGGGGCAGAGGGCTTCTGTCAGGCATATGGACCTCACCCCAGCCCCGCTCACACGCCCTCTGTGGCTCCCTATTGCCCCCAGCTCACATCTGCCAAGGCTGATTCATGCTGAGGGTTTTCAGGACCTGGAGTGAAAGGCGGTGGGTGGCGGTGGGTGACATTAGACCCCCTTCTGAATCCTGTGGGGCCACCATCCAGCCCCGCCCGGTTCACTTCTCCTCCCGCCAGGACAATGGCTGTGCATCTCCAACCCTCCTCTCCTCCCCCAAGTACCTACTGGGCGCCTACTGTGTGCCTCACAGCCTGCCGGGTGCTCCTCCGGCCTCCTGGGGGAAGGGTCCCGTAGGGACCCACCTTGTAGCAAAAAAGCAAACCTGGAAAAGACTGAACAGGCAGGCACCAGAGAGGTGACGGCTTGGAGACCCAAAACCAGGTGACAGGACCCAGCATGTGGGGACATCCAGGCCACAACTGCCCCCCCCCCGTCCCTGCTCACACACACCCTCTCTGGCTCCCCATTGCCCCACGGCTGCCCTGCAGTCCTGGGCCGCATCCTCCTCCTCCCACAGGGATTCATGTCGCCTAGGAGCTCAGAATGCGGCCTTATCTGGAAAGAGGATCTTCACAGATGGAATTAAGGTAAACATTGAGGGCTGTATTAGGGTGGCCTCTAAACCCAGCAGGGGTGTTTGAAAGACGCCCACAGAGCAGAAGGTCACGTGATGATGGAGGAGAGGTGGCCACAAACCGAGACACTAAGGATTTCAGGAGTTACCAGGAGAAAGGCCGGGAATTCTCTCGCAGGGCCTCTAACCCTGCAACACCTAGCCTCCAGACGAGCGGCCTCCAAACTGAGAATCAATTCCTGTGGTTTAAGTCATCCAATTTGTGGTCCTTGGTGACAGCAGCCCTGGACACTAGGTAAATGGGTCACTGAGCCAAATGCTTCACTAGTCTTACGTAAGGGTCCTATCATACAATCCGCCACCCAGGGTGGAGGGAGGGTGTGTGAGAGGAACGCTCAGAGCTGGAGTAATCAATGTCCACTCTGATGGTCACTCAGGAATTTCTGGATTGTGTCCACTGCTCCACGGCTGGAGGTGGGGGGTCCCTTGGAGGAGAGCTGGGAGAAGCCCTGCCGCGGGCACCGAGTGCCCTCTGAGGGCTCCAGTTTCCCCCTTTGCACGGCGGTGACCCTCAGGACGGGCCCACACAGGGGCTGACCCAGGCTCGTCCCCTTCTCTAGAGAACACGCGGAGCTGCTCTGGATGGTTTATTTCCCATTGGGGACAAGGAGGGCAGCGTCTGGGACCCCCGTGTGTCAGCTCCATGACCCGGGGGATCCTCAAGTCCAGGCTGCGGTGTGTCCCCCGATGGCTTCACAGGAAGCTCACAGTGGCCTGCAGAGGGGGTGAGCACCTGTCCCACCAGGCCCCGCCCCTGGTCATCACGGTGCTCTGGGCCTCTGGGCCTGCCTGGGACCACCCCCAGGGAGGGCTCAGTGGGGACAGAGAGCCCTCAGGTCCTGCTGGGTGCAGCCACTGCGGCAGCAGCGCCTTGCCGGGTTGGCGGCCACTTCCCGCCGGCGGCGGCGGTGAGAAGCCGGGAGCAGGGCCCCGGGGCCGGACACTAGCGCAGTGTCCCCGTCCACCACCAGCCCGTGAAGGAGGTGTCTTCCTGCCAGCCACTGCAGCAGCTCACCTGGGGACAGAGCAGAAGTCATCAGGGAACGGGGGTCCCAGAGGACACCCCACACTCTGTGCACCCAGCCGAGGACCCACCAGAGGCTTGTCATGCACAGGGAACAGGGAGTGGCTGCGTGCGGTGGCACCGCCTGTGATCCAGCAGCTCAGGAGGCTGAGGCAGGAGGAAAGTAGGTTTGAGGCCAGCCTCAGCAACTTAGTGAGGCCCTGTCTATAAATAAAAAATAAAAGCCTGGCGCAGTGGGGCGCACCTGCCATCCCAGCGGCTCAGGAGGCTGAAGCAGGAGGATGGTGAGCTCAAAGCCAGCCTCAGCAAAAGTGAGGCCCTGCCTCTAAATAAAATAGGGCTGGGATGTGGCTCCGTGGTCGAGTGCCCTGGGTTCAATTCTGGTACAGAAAGAGAGAGAGAAACTGGCTTGCTTATTTGGGGCCCCTGCACACACAGGAAGCTGTTTGTTCTGTCATCCACTCTCATGCCCATACTTATGTCCCCAGCCCTACATGTCCCCACCTGCCACCTGCCTGCCCCAAGCCCCACCCAAAGAATGTTGGGCTCCTGGAGCTGCAGATGGTGTGGTTCCCCAGCAGGTCCAAGACCTGGTCAGAGATGGACCCACACACTCCCCGAAGAGCAGAGTTGGTGGGGCCCCTCCAGGTGCACACGTGTGCAGGAAGGGGACACCCAGGGACCCAGCACCCTCTACACGAGACTCAGGGACAGAATAAGGAGGAAGAGGCACAGAGAAGGCAGCAAAAAACCAAGACGAATATTTTAGGGACTGGGGATGGGGCTCAGTGATAAAGCTGGTGCCCGGCATGCATCAGGCCATAGGTTCCAATCCCAGCACCATGACAATGACAATAAAAAAATATAAAGCAATAACCCCCCATGTACACTGGGGATTGAACCCGGGAGCTCTACCCCCAGCCACATCCCCAGCGCCCCCCCCCCTTATTTTTTTTATTTAGAGTCAGGGTCTCCCAGCGGCTCTGGAGGCTGAGGCAGGAGGATGGGGAGTTCAGAGCCAGCCTCGGACACCTGGTCTCAAAACAAAAATCTTTTTAATACATCAAAATTAAGGGGAAAATTCATCAAAATCAAGATGTTGTTCAATACAGAGCGTCCCGCCCGCGCACTGCAATGTCCTGCTCTCCTGCGCCCAGGGTCCCCACACCCGCAGGGGACTCAGCCTCTGGCGACTTTCACCGCCTGCCCGCCTGCACCTGTTCCACCCAGGCATCCCCGAGCGCAGTCCCCGCCAGTCCCCACTCACGGTCGCCGCCTGGCGCCGGCTTCCCAGCCTCGGGGGACCAGCGCGGGCCCCCGCACAAGCGCACCAGCTCGCGCACGAAGTGCTGCCCGCACAGCTTCTCGCGCACATCCAGGGCGACCGCGGGGCCCAGCGCCAGCACCAGGGCTGCTACCAGCAGCGCCAGTGCCCGGGCCGGCAGATGAGGGTCCATGGTGGCAGAAGACGCCCAGCCCCTCCCGGGACTCTCCTCTTATAGGGCCTGGGCCGCTGCAGCTGGGGGCCCTTGGAGGAGGAACACAGCCTTCCCAGCGGCGGGCCAAGGTCAAGGGTGGGATCAGGGCCTGGGGCTGGAGCCGCCTCCCCCAGGGGACGCTCCACCACTGGACTCAGTGTGAGCAAATGAATGCATCCGGCCTGGGTCAGTCCCCCAGAGACAGACAGACAGAGACAGATGGACAGCAGACAGAGAAAGAAAGGGGGAAGCCAGCATGGGGGGCTGCCGGGTCTCCTGAGCTCAGCAGGTTCAGACACTTCCTCCCTGACACTGCCCACGGGAGGAAACTGAGGGCCACACAGGGACCCCAGGCCTGTCCAAGGCCCCAGGGGACTGAGCAGGGCCTGGGTCTCCTCCAAGCCCCAGGGAGGGGGTCTCCACACACAGGGTCTCCCGGGAGCCAGGCTGGAGACCACGGTGCAGCCCGTCTGTCCTGGGCCTGCCTAAGGCCTAGGGGGTGGGTGGGGGAATCTTATGGTTCCCTTTTGCCAAAGAAGGAAACTGAGGCTGAGAGAGGGGAGCTGGGTGGGCAGCAGGATTGGCTCCCTCCCAGAGCAGCCCCCCTCCCTCCCTTTTCCCAGCAAATCGGGGCCTTGCTGGGGCTGAGAGAGCGGGATGGAGACCTCTGAGGTCCTTGGTCTCTGTTTCTAAGTCTCTTGGCCTCCATCGCTCAGCCTCCCTGTCTCCCCCCTTCTCCGTCTCTGTGTCATGGGGGCTGGCCTGCCCCAGCTGAGGCTGCCCCATCCCGTAGTCTTGCCTTCTGCTGCCCAGCCTTGCCCTCTGACCCCAGAGCAGGCTGTTCCTTCCGCCCCCCAGGAACCTGTAATCAGCTCTCCCAGGACGGTGGCAGCCAAGGCCGGCAGCTGGGCTGGAGGGGAGGAGGCCTGTCCTCTGGCCAAGGTCTCCCCCACTTGCCCTCCTCCCCAGTCTGGCCCAAGAATCCCACAATGGACCCCCAAGGTGACCTGGCCCACAGCCCTGTCAGACCCTCAGACCCAAGAACACCAACAAATCCTCCTTCCCACTGAATCCTTTATTCATTCAACAAACACTCCCAGACTCCACTGTGTGCCCACCCTGAGCTAAGACCTTAGCTCAGGCCCCAAAGAGCCCCCATGTCAGCGGTTAGACTGGAGGGCAGGACAGGGCCGGTGCAGCGTGTGTGGGGGCCACACAGAAGGTCATGACAGCTGGTTTTTTTTTTTTTTTTTTTTTTTTTAGTTCTCGGCAGACACAACATCTTTGTTGGTATGTGGTGCTGAGGGTCGAACCCGGGTCGAACCCTGGCCGCACGCATGCCAGGCGAGCGCGCTACCGCTTGAGCCACATCCCCAGCCCATGACAGCTGGGGTTTTGAGAGATGAATAAGAGCTTCACAGGGAGGCAAAGTAACAGAAAACCCTTCAGATAAAGAAGAGTGATGGGAGCATAACCCGAACCAGACACCTCCTCACCAGCCTCAGAAAGTTGCCTCTACCACCAAAGGGCCAGTTCTGCCCTTGCAGAACTGAGATCAGAGAGGAGAAGCAACTTGCCCACCCTCACACAGTAAGTGGGGGAAAGGTGGGCTCCAACACCTGGCCTCTTCACCTCCGTACTCTGAGCCCCTTCACCCTTGGTGTGCTGTTCTCTCTGCCAGGAATGCTGTTCCTTCTCTCAATTGCCTCAAAAGTTCCCACCAGGCTCTCACATCATCTGTTGTGGGACCTTAGAGGGTCAGGACAGAAAGGGCCCTACTGACAGGTAGGGAAACTGAAGTCCAGGGACACTCAGGCATGGCTAAGGGGACACTGGAACCCCGGCCTCCCGTCCCCTTACTCCATCCGGAACAGACACAGGCTCTGTCCTGCAAACCCCAAGCAGGACAGCACCTCATCCTTGGGTCAAAGAGCAACGCCCTCGCCAGGCGCCGTGGCGCACCCCTGTAATCCCAGCGCTCTGGAGGCTGAGGCAGGAGGATCTCAAGTTCAAAGCCAGCCTCAGCAACTTAGTGAGGTCCTAAGCTACTCAGTGAGACCCTGTCTCTAAATAAAATACAAAATAGGGCTGGGGGTGGGGCTCAGTGGTCAAGTGCCCCTGAGTGCAATCCCCTGTACCCCCCAAAAAGCAACGCCTGAGATCATATACTTAAAGTTACATTGTATCCACTTTGGGAAGAAGAAAGGAAACTCAGGGCCACACCAAGAAGGGATGGGAGGCCAGGAGGGGCTTGAATTTTATCCCTTGCATCTGCGGGCAGGGCTCAGGAGCCATCTGCCTTGCATCTTTACAAGTTCCTGGGGCCACCAGGCTGCTGACCAATGTCATCTGCCCCAGGAGGGGTCTTCATGAAGCAGGGGACCCTCCCAAGGCCTCAGGGGACCAGAGAGGGGCAGTCCCCTGCCTGAGGTCACACGGAGATCTGAGTTCTGGAGATATAAAGAGGACAGGGAACAGGTTTGCCCTTGGGATGAGCCAGCGGAGAAGGCGTAGGTCTGACGCCCTTGGCTGCTACCCCCGGTTTCCACTCCACAGCGCGTCCAGCTGGGGACCCAGGACACTGAAGGTCTGCCGGTCCTGTGGGCTAAAGGCCCAGCACAGCTTCATAAGTTCATGAACCTGAAAGGACGGGAGTACAGTGGGATCAGGCCCAGGCAGCTGGAAGGATGAGACTCCTGTTCACAGTTTTAAAACAGAAATCAATCTCCATCCCACTTCTCCTCCCACAGCTCCCAGGGGATCCCAGTCCTGAAGCCCTCCTCCTAGCATCTCCGCCCTCCCGCCCTCTCATGTTTGCTCTGTAGCCACTCCTACCTCTGCCTCACTGTTATCTAAACCCACCAAGTTCATTCCCACCTCAGGGCCTTTGCACCTGCTGTAGGTACACTGGGATCCCTTCTCCCATCTGTACCCAGGGATGGGCTTCTCCTCCTCTGTCAGGCATCACCCCCTCTAACAGGACCTCCTGGTGACCCCATTCCACCATTCCTCCCTGTTTATCTCTTTCAAGGTTTTGGCTGTTTGTTTCTTATGTCAAAGTGCCCAGGCCAGGTCGAGATGCACGCAGCAGCGGGAGCCCAGGTACTCCATGCTCTTGTTCAATTGAAGACAGAGAGTATCTGTCTCTTCTCTGCCCTACTAACTCCCCTCTTCAGGGTCTGGCACACAGTTGGCATTCAATGAGTGGTGACCTGAGGGGATGAATTTGTGCCTGACCTCCCACCTGTCTCACACACACAAGATCGTAAGCCGCGAGAATCACCATCACTTCTGAAGCACACACAGCAGGCAGGGCTCCGAGCTGGGCTCTTGTAGGCACTGCCCAGTCTAATCCTCCCTCCCCAGGAGACCTTACTATCCCCATTTTGGAAATGAGTAAACTGAGGTTCTGATGAGCGTTTGTGAGCTGCCACACAGGGCGCCCGGGGCTACCTCGGGGTCAGGATCCCCTCCAGCAGCACAGCCAGTCCCAGCCGCCAATCAAGAGACAAGGCGGTGGGGAGCTGAGACCCCGAGACCCCGGGAACCCGAGCCTGCCCTTCAGCGCTCACCTCACGGGGACAGGCGGGGGGCGCCGGCAGCCTCTGGCCCTCGGCCAGGAGCTCCAAGAGGCGGCAGAGGGCCGGGGCGTCTCGCTCGCACCCCATCATTCGCAAGAACTCCTGGGACCAAAAGGGAGAGCCGCCTTGGGGACGGGCCATCCGCGACGGGGGAAGGGGCGGCGGGGTGGGGGCTGGGGGTCTGCCACAGTGAAAGGGGGAGGGGAAGGGGGAGGGGCCGCCCTGGGTGTGGGTGGCAGGAAGGGGGTCCTCCCCTCGGGGCCTAGAATTAGGGATCCCAGCAGAAGGCAGGATGGGGATGGGCCACCAGGGAGCGGGTGCGGACGCTGCTCACGGCGGAGGGGCTGCAGCTCTTGTCGCTGTAGGTGAAGAGCTCGTAGAGGACCACCCCGAAGCTCCAGACGTCGGACTGGAGCGAGAAGACGTTGTCGGAGAGGGACTCGGGGGCGTACCTGGCGGGGGGACGGGGAGTTGAGATTCTGGGGGGCCGAGGACGGACGCGAGACAGGGAACTGCCAGGGTAGGTGGCGGCTAGGAGGCCTGGTTCCCTGACTGGAGGACACGGGGGTTCTCCGCCCCCACCTGGCACCAGGGCAAGGCCAGGCGCTAAGGGGCGGGAGGGGACGGAGCCAGGACCCTGTGGGGTGGGGGCTGAGCCCGGTGGGGAGGGGGGCGGGGCTAAGGCTGGAGGCCAGGCCAGTAGAGGGGGGAGGCGGGGCCAGTGTTTACTGGTGGGCGGGGCCATGGCGGGGGGGCGGGGGGGCCTGGGCAAGGGGCTGGAGATGGGAGGAGGGGGAGGAGCCTCGGATGGGGCGTGGCATAGCGGGCGGTGGGCGGGGCTACTGTCAAGGGGCGTGGTCTATGCCAGGTAGGGGCGGGGCCGGGCGCCCAGGGTGGGTCCCTACCAGAAGATGGGGCTCTGGCCGGGCTCGCGAACCACGTAGTAGTCCTTGTCGAGCGGCAGCAGCTTGGCCAAGCCGAAGTCGGCGATCTTGACGTGAGCCTCGTTCTCCACCAGGATGTTCCGGGCCGCCAGGTCGCGATGCACGCAGCGGCGGGAGCCCAGGTACTCCATGCCCTGCGGGCGGGCGCCGTGCACTTGCGGAGGGACCCCAAACTGGATCGGAATTCCACCCCAACCCGACCCAGACTCCAAGCCGGAGCCTACCCCGGACTCCTGGGCTCCGCTCTGACAGAGCCCAACTCGACCCCACCCCGCAATCCCACCACCCCTCAGCCTGCACCCTATCCGATGGGCCCCAAAGGTCCTGGGGTCGCCCCACCCTCACTCCCGCCCCGCACCTTGCAGATCTGCGAGGCGTAGAGGAGGAGGCGGCTCGAGTCCAGGCGTGCGCGGTGCCGCTGCAGAAAGTCACGCAGGCATCCGCTGGGCAGGTA